AGAAGTGGAAGGTCACTTTTTCACTACATTCCTCTTCAAATTAGAATTTCATCTCATTTTTTCTCAAAAAAATATATTTCATATCAAATTAAGATTAAAGAATAACAAGGGTGAGAAGAATGAAGGATTTCTATACATTTTGTTCTTTTATCCAATAAAATTCAAGGTAGGTAGAGGTACAAGTATTCATTCGTTTTCAAATATGATTTTTCGATAAATGTTTAAATGAAATGATACCTTCGGGTACTGTGCTTCGACACTACAACAGTTTGAATGATCATTCTCTGACTCTAAGTGTTATGATAATGCTATAGTAATTGGATTTTGCCGGAAATCCATCTGCGTGCGATAGTATGAATCTATAATTCGGAATTTCTAATTTGATAACGAATTGCACCAATGATATCTATTGAGTTTCAAACTCATGAGTTAATTTCCTTCCTACATGTTGAATGGATTTTCCTTGGGGCATAGATGATGGTAAAGGATGATACAACATGTCATAGAGAAGCCGGTGATTTACTTCTTTAGTTGATTTTGAGATATTTACACTTTCTTTAAATTTGATTCCTATGAATATTGTGTGGATCTATTTTACGAACACTCGTTATAAATAAACTGTGTTTGAAAGTAGATATGCGTCATAGGAATAAATTTACAAATTACCGTATACAAAAAACGAAACATCTCTGTGAAAGAAGATCTGAACAAATATCACACATGTTTCAATCTCAAGTTCGCATCTCTGTGAAAGAAGATCTACATATTATGGTGAACATAAAGGTGTGCAAGAAATTGCCAAAATGAATTGAGAAGGAAAGGGGTCGACCTGATTGGTAGCTATTAATTGAAGTAGTAGTTATTACATAATCTTTTGTACGAGGTCGGACTACTTTGAGCGAAGGAATGTAAACTATGTTTGTAAATTACGTTAATTTATGAAATGTTATATTTCAACTCTTTTTTTGAACATCGATTGTTACTTGTAAATTACCTTTTAGATTATCCATTTGTACTTGGCTTCGTAGATTCACGGCCATATTGTTTATTGAACCTTCAACTAAAAAGTCTCAAATAAAAAAATCCATCGTATTTGCCTTTTTTGTAGTTCTTAGCAAGAACAGTTGGGTGTTTTTAGTCCTCCTGGGATTCATCACGTATTACCATAACATCCCTTTGGGAAAAGAGGAAAGAATAACCGTTACAATTTAAAGACTTCAACTATATGGAACATTTTTCTTGTATGTGCATGTATAATACTAGGCACTATTGTAATTTTCTTGTTATAAAACAGAGATAATTCGACGGAAGATAAGGCAAATTCCGAATGTGGAGAACCCAACACCAACCTCATCACCAGCTTCATGGCTATGTACAACTAAGAGAGAACTTGAAAGCCAGCCTCATCAATCACTAGATTAAGGTACAAACTTCATGGCTCAGTATGATGACCACGGACATTTGCCCGATTTTTACACATTGCAAGCTCCTTTTTACTTTATATCACAAAGCCGAAATGAAACATGTCAAAATGAAAAGCAAAGGTAAGCTAGCCCAACATATTCCTAATAGAACTGTATATATATATATATAT